GATGCTCCTCCCCTCACATTGCTCTCCTTTCATCATGTCAGGATGATGATGGTGCGAAATTACGCCCAATACCGCCCCGGCCTCTTATTGTGGGGGGGGGAATTCTGGGAGTTGAAGTCCACACATCTTCAAGCTGCCAAGCTTGAGGAACACTGATCTAAGGAGTACTTCTCTCCAGCTGCCAACGAACATCTGCTCAGCCACTATCTGGCTCAGTTTCCTGCTTCTCAGGGCAATTTCACGCTGAGGAAATTGGGGAACTGAAACGGATCCAAAAGCTGTTTTAACAGAGGCAGAATGGTCACGTCCGTTTGCCAATTCCCCAAAGTGAAATTAAATCTGTCGAAAAAAGCAAAAATATTTGAGGCGACTGAGATCACCCAACTCGATGGGACTATCCAAGGGGTCGATCAATGGCTGGGGGTCAAAAGGGGGTCCGTAAATATCTGAGGTCAACAGGTGGTTGATAAGTGATAAGCTCTTGTACAAGGCTCTTCGAGTGGCAGGAATCCGGTGATCTTCTGCGAGCGATCCACCCTAACCTGCCCCAACCCAGCATGAGCCCAGCCCAGATTAGAAATGGTTCAGGAGCAGGTCCCAGTCATAAAATCACGAACAGGACCATCCTTACCTATCATGATAACGGTGAGCACAAAATTGCTGATTTCCTGCAGCAGTTGAGGTCCAAAGGCTAAAAGGCAACCTCCCACAAGTTCTATCCAGCCCACTGTTTCCAGGTACCACGCTGGTTCTGGCTCAAAGCCAAACACCTTCAAAGGGAAGACATCTGCAAACTGCAGAAACTGGGTTTTCTGGAACAGGAAGGAAAAGGAGCATTAAACGGACAGCCAAGGAGGACCCAGGAGTAGAAGAGAGTTACCCAACTTAGTTTATAGCAGCCAGCAAAGACACACACAATCCAGGGTGGCAGAAAATGTGGGTGGCTACGCGAGGGTAGAAGCCACCTAGGAAACAGGCGTGCATTGCTGCGAGATGCAAGCAAAGAATAGCTTGTCCTTTAGGGTGGCAAGGCCCCTGATGACGAGGAGAAAAGAGGAGGTCCAGAAAAGACCGGATATTCTTTTCTTGAAGTTCTCCAAGCATTTGTTTGCTTAGGATTTTTCTCTCTTCTCATCTCTACGCTGAAACAAAAGCACAGAAACGGATGCCGGTATATCTTGTTAATTAAATCCAGATTATTTCCCATTTCCTTCCATTTCCCCCCAATTCTCCACCAACACTTAATGGCTGCTTTCATACAACAGACTTACTTGGTTAATACATTTTTTGAATTCACCCAATAGACTGTAGGTAAGCAAACTGGACAGGGCTATATTGGATCAGATTCCAGAAAACAGATCTACCTTTTTACCAGCTGACTTAATAGCTACTTTTTAATTGCTGCCTTTAACACTGTTATTGTTTATCTGTGCATTGTGGCTTTTATTATTGTTTATATGTGCGTTACGGTTTTTATTAAAGTTTTCAAATAATACGAACAGTCTATTTGTTAACTGCTCGTTTTCTCTTCTGTACTGTGTTGGTGTTTTTGTAAAATGGTTTTAATACTTCTTTTAAGGACAAGGAAGAGATACTTTCTCTACGTCATATTTTATGAACTACAGATATTGTATCCAGCATCAGTGCAAGTAAGATAAGAGAGTTGTCAATTACTGTGCTTGGGGATAATCTGTGATTAAGCATTATATCACTGTTTTTTTTTTTATTATAGTAGGTAACTCAAGGCCAGCAAAACAGATTGGTCCTATTAACTTCAGTGGGAAGTTATTAAGCAAGTGTATTATAAATTGGACCTTAATTTAAAGGGTGCATCTAAACCTTTAGATCAGCTTTCTCCAACTTGGAGCCACATGCAGGATCGGGAATTCTGAGCTGAACTCCTGTATCTGGAGGACAGAAGGCTTTCAAAGTATTTCGTTCATCTATATCAGTGTTTCTCAACCTTGGCATCTTTAAGATGTGTGGACTTCAATTCCAGAAGTCCACACATCTTAAAGTTGCCAAGGTTGAGAAACACTGATCTATATCTTTTCCACCAACTATTTTGCATTCTGATAAGGTCTTAATTATTTCTTAACAGTCAACAATCCCAACAGATCTGCATGTGTGTTTAAAATCTTGTGGTTCGTCTTAATTCAAGGAGGGGTTCTCTCTCCCTCCCACCCCACTTTTAATTTTTTAAGTTTACAAAGTAATTTCCACCAGCCCAGCCAAGGAAAAACAGACAGCCCCCCCTTCCGAACTGTCTTGCACTCCGGCCCCAACAGCCCACTAAAAAATCCGAAACATCAGCCTCAGGCGCCAAAATGTTTCTACAAATGGAAGCCTCGCCAAAGGCCAGGAAAAGTCCCTGATTTTACTTGGAGCGCAAAGCCAAGCCAGGCCGTTGACACAGAGGCCAGTCCCTGGGCTCTGGAGTTCTTCCCTCCAACTAATTTCGCAGAGGCAGGACCAGGGGGGGAACGGGGGCAGAAAGAGCTAAAGGACCCCAACTCTTCGGGGGACAGGATAAAACCCATTCACCATGGTAATAACCAGCTTTAAAACATCCCCACCTCCGATTCAGATACGTGGCAACGTCTTGGTTTCGAAGACCCAAATCCCATTTATAAATCCAGCTGAAATGAGAAGCGAGTTAAGCTCAGCCCTGTGTGTGTGTGTGTGTCTGTGTTTGTGTGTGTCTGGGCGCGCGTGTGTGAGAGAGAGAGACAGTGAGAGAGAGTTGCTGTTTCCTAAGGAGGAGCCCCGAGGGGGAAAAAAGATGGCCAATGTTTAGCTGGCCAGAAAGTGTGCCAAAGACATCGCTGGGCGGCGGCAAGGAAAACAGGCCAGGGCTGAAGAGGAGGCGAGCAGGAGAGCCCC